GAGAGTCGTAGGCCGTAACAGTAAGAAATTGACCAATCACAATCGATTATTCTTCTGTACTTTGTCTGTGATTGGTCAATTTCTTACTGTTACAACCTACAACTCTCCATTGTAGACGGCTCTTTAGTTCCAATTCCTGTATTTCCTGCATTTCCTGCATTAGTTCGTTCCATCTTGTTTAACTGAACACAGCCTTATGGCCGTGGCCGCTCTCAGGGCGATGTCCCATTGAGCGGAAATCTATAGCGGAACGGAATGTGCGGAACCAGCTCGACCAATCATAGCCAATCCGTTTTCTTTCCTTCGCTTTTTCTGTGATTACGATTGGTCGAGCCGGTTCCGCACATTCCGTTCCGCTATAGATTTCCGCTCAATGGGACATCGCCCTCAGGCTTCTTTCTGCTTCCACCATGCTCACGAAGCGAATCGGACCGATCCTGAACGCGCTAATAGCGCTGTGAGCGTATTTCGGACCGCAGCCCTGAACTGATCGCACTAGTTCAGAGTTCATCTTTTTCATTCCACATTGAAAGAAAAAAGATAAACTCTGAACTAGTTTAGTAAGTTCAGTTAAAAAGAACAGACCTTGTGTCTCTGCTCAATCTTGCAACTCTGGTCACATGTGCAAAGTGACGCAGATTTTTTGGAAAGGATTTGGTGTCCCCACACCAATTCGTCTTCAAGGAATAATTTACATTTAGACACAGACCGACACAGACTGGCGTATGGACTAACAGAGTAGGTCTACATAGCCATAATTGCAAAGAAGAAGAAAAACACCAAACCTTGACAATGGCAAGTTTATTATCTGGTATTACAAACTTTCATTTTTAAGTTACGTATACAAATGATATACATGGTTTCTGCTTAATAAGTTTAATAGCAATATTCATGCAGATTCAAGCAATGGCTCCAGGAAAGCGATCATTCTGTGGGAAAAAGAAGAAGTTCAATGAATATTGGTCAAAACCAAAGCAAAAGGAAAAATTTGACTTTAGAAATTCCTTCTATATTAAAGAACGTAAAACAAAAAACGAAGAGATTGAAGCTCGAAGACAGATATTGGAACAAGAAAAGATACGTGAGCGACTTGAGGAAGCAGAGAGTTCTGGAGATGATGTACTTGATCCTGAGTTGGCCTGGTTAGCAATGGCAGGTTATGATGATGGTAGATTACTGGACAATCTTAACAAACCAACTATAACTAGTTCAGAAAGTGAAAGTGATAAATTAGATATGGACAAAGAGATAAGACGCAAAAGAAAAATAAAAGAAAAAGAAGTTAAAAGATTAAAAGACAGAAAAGGTAACAAAGAGAAGAATGAAGAATCTAAAGTGCAGAACAATGATGAGTCCTTTCATAAAGATAAAGAAATTATTATGAGAAGAAAGATAGATGATGACTTTGAAGATACAGAGACTGCTGAAGAAAATACTGATTATTTGGATGATCCATTTTTTTTACATTTGCATAATGATATGGATGATGAATTACATAAAGCAGTTTCTACAACACCCCAGATCACAGAAAATATAATACTAAAATGGCCTATGTTTAGATATTTGATGTGTGAAATTCCAAAACCTGCTATTGATCTAAATAATAAATCAATAAAAATAAAACAATTTCTGGATGATGATGAGAAACAATATACAAATTATGGTAAACCTCCACGTTTAATCAAACATGTTGATTGGAAGAAGTTGCATATAAAATCGCAGATTCAAAACAATTTAATCAAAGCTAATCACATTAATATAAAAGATACTATAGAAAAGAATTCAACACTTTTAACTCCTCTTCAAAAAGAATTATTTTCAGTGATAAACAATTATCAAGATTTGTATTATAACCAAAGAACGTATTCAAATGCTAATCAAATACTTTTCATCTATTGTCTCCATGCAATTAATCACGTATTGAAAACTAAAATGAATATTCTATATCATAATATGAAGTTAGCAAAGTCAAAGCACAGTGGCATGGGAGAAGTTCCAGATGAGTACAGAGATCAAGGTTTAATGAGGCCAAAAGTTCTCATAATAGTACCGTTTAAACATTCTTGTCTGAAAATAGTAGAGATGTTTATCTCGATTTTATTCGGTGAAGACAAAGGCGGCTCCGTCATCAACAAGCTACGATTCATGGAAGATTTCACCGGAAACGAATTGATGATACCCAAGAGAAACTTTAAACCGCAAGATTACAAGCAGACTCTGGAAGGTAATATTGATGACAAGTTCAAGATTGGCATGGCCATCACTAAGAAAACCCTGAAGTTATACACAAATTTTTATTCGTCTGATATCATAATCGGTTCACCGTTAGGTCTCAGAAGAGTGGTGGGTGCAGAAGGTGAAACAGAGAGAGATTACGATTTTCTCGCGTCGATAGAATTGTTAATCATGGATCAGATTGACGTAGTTCTTATGCAAAATTGGGATCACTTGCACCAAGTGTTAGACTACATGCATCTACAACCCAAAAAGTTTTTCGATATCAACTATTCTCGTCTCAGAAGTTGGTGTGTGAATGGCTGGACCAAATACTACAGGCAGACACTTATTTTCTCCAGTGTCGAGCAACCTCAAATAAACACGCTGACGATCAAACATTGTTTCAACTATGCCGGCAAGGTGAAAGTGAGAAACGTGATAGAACCAGGCTCGATTCGTCAGGTAACTGTCGCGGTTCCGCAAGTGTTCCGCAGATTTGACTCCTCTGATCTACTTCAGTCAATCGACAACAGACTGGACTTCTTCTTAAAAGAGATATTGCCGCAGTACACAGACCCGATATATAACCATACATTGATTTATGTGCCGTGCTACTATGACTTCCTATATCTGCGGAATCGCCTGATGAAAGAAAAGCTGAGCTTTGCGCAAATTTCCGAATATACAGAGGATGCAAAGGTTGCCCGAGCGCGAGACATGTTCTTCCACAGTGACGCGCACTTTCTTCTCTACACGGAACGTTGCCACTTCTGGCGTAGGACAAGAATAAAGGGTATTCGCCACCTTATATTCTACCAGTTGCCCACTTATCCGCATTTTTATAGCGAAATGTGCAACTTGATGGACAGAATGTACCAGAATCCACATGCCGGCACATCGTTTAACATGTCGGTAACCGTCATTTACAGCAAATTTGACGTCATAGCGCTCGCTAATGTTGTGGGTCACAAACGGGCCGTACAAATGTTAGAATCCGACAGCAAAGTACACACCATCAATCGAATGTCTATTTAATGCAATTAATTATATAGGTTACAATTTCGATTAATATTGAATGTAAATATCTAATTAATATAGAAGCTTTATTAATATCATACAAAATTTACACAAATATCTAATAAAAGTTTTCCTTTATGACACATTATACAAAGTCATAAGAGTAAAATTACAACAAATTGCTATTATAATTTTACTTTGTAGTTGCTTTTCTTCTCTTATAATACTAATTACTTAAAAAAAGTCTTGAATTTTCTATCAGTATTTAGTGAGAACTTGAATGAATAAAAAGTTTTACGAACCATTTATAACTTTACCATCTATATCATAAAACAATATCATAAAACTTTTGTATTTATTTCATGACAAAGATTGAAATAAATGTATATGAGCAAAATGTAGTAAATATGCAGAAATCACCTTCCGATCTCAATAATGTTGTCATATGAAGACCACAAGGGAAGAACTTTGATAAGTCAATTTTTCTCGATTTTCTGTTTTTCATGTTATTTGTTATTTAAAATGGAGTATTTTAATTATCCAAAGCGAGAAAGGGAAATTTTTGATAGATTCCGAGATATATCATAGGGAAAGAACTTGATAAGATATTTTTGTAATTTTAGACGAGAGCGATTTTAAAGTTCAAAACGTATATGTATTTCTTCTTACACGTTTCATAAAAATGTTTATATCTCGGAATCTATCAAAAATTTCCCTTTCTCGCTTTGGATAATTAAAATACTTTGGATAATTAAAATACATTTTAACTTTATATGTTATCAAAGTCGTCATTTTAAATAATGTTGTGAGTTTTAGTCGGTCGGTCGTTGTTAATTAAAATGTTTGTTTGTATATAAAAATATTTTTAACACTATGTATTCGATTTAATGGTTGGTTTGGCCAATGACTTTCTGTTTCACATATATTATAAAGATCATTCTCTTAAGTACGTTCCAAAAAGTTTTAGCCGTTGCTCATTGCTTATTAAAAAGTTATGTACAAAAAAGTTTTATAAATAAACACAGTTTTTGGCACCGTGTACATTTGAGAAATAAATATTTTGTATTATGCATTATTGTACACATGTGAGCGGAGAAGACGGAGAAGTTCTTCGTACATTTCCTCTCCGAAAAACTTTACTCGATCTATGTTGCTATTAATGATATCATTAATTGTCACAATGCACATCGCATGTCAACGCTACTATCACAGTAACATTATAGATTGGATTAAATTAGGTGTTTTTCGGGGAAAGGTGTTTACACGTATACGATAGTGTATGATACAAATGAAATATGTATTTCTCAAATGTATATGATTTTGGAAAAAAGGGTTTATTTATGAAACTTTTTTTGTGTATAATTCAAACACTAAAGCCGAGCGGCAGTAACATGTATAAAAAAAGTTGTTCAGAATGATATCCTTAACAACATGTTTCAAGATAATTGAAATCGGTAAGAGATGGTTCATTTTCTAAACAATTATCCATCTTTTATCTGATAGTCTACACAACCAAAATCCACTATCACGCTCATCTTGTGTGAATCATTAGATATTATATAATGGTACTTGACTTTCTCCAATGACAAATAATTACATCCTAGTTTTCAACTTTTTCTGTTTAACCTTTCTCTATACCTATGTCATTTAGCATAACACTTATACCCGCGCGCGGTGTCACGACCGACTTTCGTCTAGAGAATAGTTACCAATTCACTTATTCAAAATAAAACAAAAATTTATCAGGAAATATAGTTTTATTTAACATTTTAAGTCTTTTATCACAGATCTTCCAAACAAATAAACTTTTGTCGGTCTGTGAGACCAATGTGCAGATATAAGTCAATAACTTTTTAATTAAAAATGACCGGTGTCTAAAACGTTCAAATTATTCAGGGATGACTTTGATAACATATGTCAACATTAATGAAATCGGAAGATAGTTTCTATTACTACCCAAAACATATATAAAATTTATTTTAATTATAATTCTGTTATTTATTGTTGGTCACTTTATTTTTTCTACTATCGAGAAAAGAATACTATCTAATACTAAACGTTCTAAACTTATTTTAATTCGTCTAAACTTTTATAATATATATATTTATAATATATATTTATCTGTCGGAGAATAATTCTAAAATCTCTCTCCCAGCAAACACAGATATATATTAGCAACATTGTCGTAATAAAACAAATGTAACAAGTAATATAACATGGTCGTTGCATGTAACATCCATGTTAGTTGTAATTTCCTACTTATCGTATATTGCAGTTATATAATATGAATATAACATGTAAGTAAAATGTAATATAATTGTTATATAGTTACAGAAATGTTATATGAAAGTTATAATGTCATTACCAGCTAATAACAAGCAATATAATAGATATATAACATAATTATATTACATTTATAAAACAAAGTTACATAACATCGATGTTAATAGAGTATAACTAGAGCTGTTATATTACGTATATCACGCTGTTACTTCTATATTATATAGCAGTTATATTCTGTGTTTGCTGGGTCTCGTTTGGCAAAGGCAAGTTACGATTTCTAATCGTCTCTGTTCATAGGAAGTAAAACCGTTTCTCTATAAACATACTAATAGACTATTTAATATTAAATATTAAATATTCTATCTACATACTCTAGCTCATCATGACTCAAAGTGAAAAGTTTTACAATTTAAAAGCTCGAAAATATCACCTAAGTATTAAAGTCGATACAAATCAATATACCGGATGTAAATACCGTGCAATCATATGTACAGGACTGGTCATTTAAAATGTTACAAGCTTATCTAAAATATGCGTCATGATAAAACATGCTTCAGACAAAAATTGTATGGTTTAAAGGGAATCAAATAATAAAAAATGAAATTAATTTTTTAAGAAAACTACATTTTTAAGGTCATCTGAAAGTCATCTATTAATTTCTTAAATGAAATGACCTTCTTTTGATAGCAAATTCTTATAACTGACATCAAGACGTTTTCAAAATGATATAATTATTCTCCCGATTATATAATTATGATATAATTCTTCTTCTTCTTCTTCTTCTTCTTCTTCTTCCTTCCGTGGATCTTTCAGGTTGTGTAAGGTTTCTTTACTGTGGATATTTCATAATTATTCTCCCTTCTATTAAGAACTTCCTGATTTATGAGTCTTTAAATTTACGATACCATTGACATTAGTCAAAATGTATCAGATAATAATAAAATGCGAGACTTAATTTACACATTCATTTATCTTTCTGTATCTGTATGTAAATGTTAGCGTACGTGCTTGATTAGCGTGAGTTTTCTTGCCTCTCATAAACAAAAATAACAAAATTTGGAAAATCAATGCGACCGAAAGTATCGCATAGAAGTTCTAATGCATTTTTGTTTGTGCTTTATAGGTTATGTAGTTGGTATCACCATGGTTGGTATGCACATTTACAAAAGTATACGCATGCTATATTCAAATGAATGGTACACAATAGGAACAGGGCAATTGAACGTTTTTTGCGTGTCCAAATTTGTATAGTGTTCAAATGCAATGTGTCTAATTAAAGTGTCTAAAATTTTTATCCATTTGCACTATGTCCAATTACATCGTCATCACTCCCTACGTATAATCCCGTAACTCCAAAACGCAAATTTTAGAGGAGAGCAGTTTAAAAGTTTGAATCTTCATATAGCTTCCCTAGTTAAGGGATCTTTCGGTTTTAAATTTTTACCTTACTTATGAATATTTTTTTTTAATACTTGGTGACCACAAAGAACATGACTTTCTGAGTGTCACTATGCAATAAACTGAAAATCCCGTATGTGAGACTTATGTAATTATACGTAGGGAGTGACGTCGTGTCCAAGTAAAGGCAAGAGATCTCTCAACATGAGAGGCAAGGAAACTCATGCTAATCAAGCACGTGCACTAACATTTACATACAGATACATACAGAAAGATAAATGAATAGATAAATTAAGTCTTGCACTTTATCATTATCTGATACACTTTGACTAATGTCAATATTATCGTAAATATAAAGACTTATAAATCAGTAAGTTCTTAACGGAAAAGTGAATAATTATACCATTTTAGAAACGTCTCGATGTCAGCTATAAGAATCTGCTATCAAACGTAGGGCATTTTATTTAAGAAATAATTAAATAATATTAATAGTGACCTTTATATGACTTTAAAAATATAATTGTTGAACCTTTAAGGACCAGTTGTTCCACCTTCAGATAAAGTATCAGGTAATCTATCTAATGGTTAAAACTCTGATTTGCGTTGTTTCACGTGTCGGTAAAATTATATATCTGGTAAATGACCAGAAACCAAAAGATAAATTACACGGCACTCTTGGTATAAGTCGTATCTAACAGATAAATATGTAGAAATAAAAAAGAGTAAGAGATGCACTAGTCAGGTTCTTATCCTATAGATAATAATAACCTGTCCTGTCGAGTAAGCTGAGATTTATCGGAAGGTGAAACAACCGGCTCTAAACTATACAATTTTTGTCTGAAGCATGTTTTGTTATGATGCGTATTTTCACAGATAACAGCTTGTAACACTTTAAATGGCTCACCCTGTATACAGAATGTTTCCTCTAACTCGATCATTTAGAATATCTGTTTGTAATGATAGGGAAAAATACCAAAAGTTCAATTCAAAGAGGCAAATATTATGATATGCAAAAAGTGTTTCTCAAGGTCATATTTTTTAAGATTTCAAAGTTATAATCATTTTTTTAACGGGATGACATATTTTTACTAACGTAGTAATGTAGTTCATAAAGAAAACAAATTCAACCGATATAAGATGTGTTGACCTTGAGATGATCTCAAATATAAAAACTCATATTTATGTAAGAAAAAACTGAACTAATTAAACGTTTCCAATATTTGTTTATTTATTATATTTTAGAAGATGTTTTCAAAATGATTAATGTTAACTTGTACACATTTTTGAATACAATAAATAAATGATCGTCTCGTACTTTCAGTAAGTTGCTATGAATGCTGTGAAGAAGTTCAATAAATAACTGTGAATATTTGTAAACATACTTCCAATTTGTAAACATACTTCCAAGACAACATGCATTGTTGGCGATACATACTACAATCATTTTGTGCGCTGTTAATATCATATTACCACGTAAAGTGCTACGCCAAGTTTGGTCGACTTTCCGTTCAATTAGCGCATGAACATACAAATGTAAACATAAGCCCAGCATCGATTCGCGGAACGGAAATATGCAAGAAAGAATTCGACGTACATGTACATTAAAGTTACCAACTACTAGCAAAGAGAAGGGACATTTTAAAAGGAGAATTTTCTTTTACATACATACATTTTTTTAATAAAAATACATATTATATTTGTAAATAAATTTTGATATTTTATATTTTACTTGTAAATAAATATACTTAATGTATTACATGAGATCCTAATATTGCAAAATAAAAGTATCAAATTACAAGATCACATTTTAAATTTGTACTTTTTCACTGAATGTATTTTTTAAATAATATTTGAGTTTTTTTACTAAAAAATCACAAGTCTTCACACGTTAGTTAAAAGTTGTGTTTTACACATTATGGCCTCTATTGTTTTTACCAATAATTGTTTTTTTGAGAGTTTATACTGGTTGAATAAGGAAAAACTTGTTCGACGAAGATATTTGTTCCTGGAAGACATAAACCAAAGAGATAAATCAAATCCCACGATTACTTTCAAATTCTTTATACCAAATTTTTTATAATGTGCTGCTGATTAACATGTTAAAATATTTTCGGCCATCGTTGATCAACTTCTTTATTGTTATCATACCAATCATTAATTTTTTTTATCAGAAACATATATATTTTACTCTTTTTATTTCGTCAAAATATTGTCATCAATATTTATAAATAAATGTTTTCCCCATTATTTGAACCGTTTCTTGAACACTATTCCATTTAATTTTAGTTTTTAATAATGATCAAGAGAAATACTTTATTTCTCTCTCTCTCTCTCTCTCTCTCTCTCTCTCTCTATTAAAATGGTCCGTCTAAGAACTTAAATAATTTATGGAAATTGTATAAAAGATTTCTGAATGTTTTTTAAACACTAAATTATCAGATTTAATTAATTGAGCAAGCTAAGCTTTAATTCGTAACGGTTTAAATAATTCTTGTAATCGATATTTATAAATTATCAATTACATCATTACTAACATTATATATTTCCATAATTGTTGCGATTGATCGTTCAATTTTTAATATTGCATAATGATCATGTACTAAAAAGAGAGACAATTCATAATCAGGTCTTTAATTTAGGACAAATTTTAGGACGTATTGTAAAATGAGGCAGAGTTAAAATTTGGGATTGTCTCTCGTAATTTAAAACGGTTAGTCACCTTAATATACATGTATCGCCATCATCCCAGAACTTATTGAAAGTGCGAGAATAATAATTTATTCATCGGTTATTCAAAAATGTATGGAAATTAACGTTAATCATTTTGAACATCTTCTAAAATAAAAAAATGATTGAAAACGTGTTGATTCAGTTTTTCCCTACATAAATATGAGTTTTTTATGTTTGAGATTATCTTTAACAAATAAGGTCAACAAATCTTATACAGTTAGATCTGTTTTTCTTATAAACTACAATCCTCTACATTAGTAAAAATATACTATTCCATTGAAAAAATGACAATAACCTTGAAATCTTAAAAAATATGACCATAAGAAAAACTTTTTGCATATCATAATATTTGCCCCTTTGAATCGAATAACTTTTCCTTTTGATATTTTTTCGTATCATTACAAAAACGGCAAAAGATATTCTAAATGATCGAGAAGAAATATCCTGTATATATTTTTCTTTTAATGTGTAAATTACTACAATGTGGAGATTCGAAGTAAATTTAATTCAAACATTTACATAGAATGCTTGGTTTGCATCTATATGTGTGAAATAATTTGCACAAAATGCGAGGAATCCGGCTTTGACTCCTGGTCAAAGTGCTTTTGTTTGCAATGAAGATTTTTAATTTCAATTTTTTAAATTGTTTTAATTTTAATTTTTTAAATTTCAATTTTATGTAAAGTTTTGAATTAAATTTAATTTGTCGAATCACATATTAATTTACATGTTAAAAGAAAGAAAATAAATATATACACACATAATTGGAAACATACACATATATAATTATATATGCGGCATTGGCTTGTATCAATCTTAATACTTAATTGAAAAGTTTTATTTATGTGACGTCGCCAACGGCATCATTTGCGACGCTAGTGAAATTATTATGATAATCTCGTGCTGTCGACACCGGCGTGAGTTCCACGGACGTTTCCTCGATGTCTGTGGTTTCCGTCGAAATTTCTTTCTGTCGTTGTGTTGTTAATAAATCCTTATTCGGCTGTTTATTATCTATCATCATAGATCTCGCAATTATTCTTTCAATCTGCGTTTCTGTGAAAAAAATGTTATTAAATTATTAGCGTGCATACAAAAAAATGTTCATAATAAGAGAGCAAACATTATTTTACAAATTTTTTTTTGACATTTTCTTTCATTTTTATGTATTCTCTTTTTTTCTTTCTCTCATATATATCTTAAGAATTTCTAAATATTCTTACGTATCTTTACGCAAAACATCTTTTTAACAATATTTGCTTCTTTTCTTCTGATCAATGCTGTTACCGTTAAAGATCGGTGGAATCGTGAGGAAGTCGAGAGATGGTTTGGGACATTCCGGCTTGTCGATTCTCTTTCTGACTGCTTGGTCCTTCGGATTCCACACAAAAGTATAGTACAGGGATAAAAGTATGGCGGCTAAGCTGACGAATATGACGTACGCGATCACCGTTAGCACTCGCACCAACTTCTGCTTGTGCTTCGGTTCGTAGAGTTTGTCTTTTCGACCATCGCCTGCGAAACGGACCTCGTTGGTGGTAGACAATTTATTGTCGCTTTTGCCCAAGGTACGACCTATGCTTGCCATCATATTGTGGGCGCTCATATTTTGCAGCAATTGCATCATCAGGAAATTACGACCGACGAGACCTTGGCCATTGTCTCGCAAATAGACAAGAAAAATGGAACTTTGATAGAAATCGTAAATGGGGGTGTTCTCCCACTGAAAATAAACGATAGACGTTTGTGTGTGATGCTTTGCAAAAAGTACGGACACAGTCCTGCTTGAAATATTCTCCCTGAGATTGTAAAAATCTTTAATTGTCTCTCTAAATCGTTATTAATTACCTGTTAATTATTACGTGACTGTTAATTCAAACGACTATCTCCTTATAAAAAAAGATGAGTAAATTTTGCCTTCAAACGTAAAAATAACCTAATTTTGAATTATGTTTTATTGAGTATTTCTTCGAATATTTTAAGAATTTCACAAATGTAATATAAATTATGATCACGATCTTTAGTTCCACGATTGTTTTTCAATTCTTTCCAGTATATTTACATACCTTATTCCTAGGCGCATCTCCGATCGTCACACGTTTATTTCCAGCGCATTACATGTTCCTAGTCTTATCCTTGTAATTCTCTTAAACTTTGACAAGAGCTTTGGACATTTTTTGATTGTATTTGCAAAAACTGAAAACATTTACATAGACAGGATGTGTCTTCCGCAAAATGATGAACTTCGCCCAGGAATTGCGTGTTCGGAATCAATACAAGATACAACAGTCGATCGGTTCTCTCTTCGACTCTCTTTTGTCTTTCCCGACGTATGACGCGACTAAACACGCGTATTTTCCCGCTTGGTTATTTCTGTATCGCCTGCAGCACACTTCACCGTGGATAAACACGTATCTCGCCGTATATCACAAGTATGGAAAAAAAGCTCACCCACCTTTATACTGCATGCTGACAAAATCAGCAAGCCAATGCGCAAGCTCCAAGGCCTTGATCTGCTGAGTTATGGCTAAGGCTAGGCTAGGTTACGTTCTAAAATCCTACCTTGGTTACTAAAATACTATATTTCACATCACGTGTACTATAGTTTTTGGTTACCAAGGTAGGATTTTGGAACGTAATCCTGAGAATGTTTAGCTCTTCACGTTTGACCAGGGCCCTAATTCTTGAAAAACTTTCGTATACGAAACTCTACTGTTAATGTCACATGTACTATAGACTTTAGTATACGCAAAATGTTCAAGAATCGAGGTCCAGGAACTAATAAATACGAAATTATATTACGAGAACATTACACATGTGCGCAACAGAACGCATGTCCGTTACGCTTGACTGCTTATTTTTGCACTATTTATTTAAAATAATAAATTTCTCAGTGTTTTTTTTTATAAATAACATTGTTTCTCAAAATTTATAGTTTTGCGTATAGCCTTTGATGAGTGTTATCTTTCGTACATCTCTTTTGTGTGTTGCGGTTTGATCTTTTATCCCATACAGAGCTTTGAAAAACACAGCTAATGGAAGTATATTTTTTGACGCATGAAAATTGTGTGTCTCTTGTACTTTCAGCTTCAATAAAAATCTTTGTCGTAGAAAATTCTTCTTTTCATGGTGTGATCAGAAATATTGTTCTATAAAATACGAATAAGAAATATAAAATTGAGAAAGCTGCTAGAACATTTTTCCCAACGAGATAATTATATGTAATGCGAGTTAAATAGGAATAGCAAGAGAAAAGAAGAAAATTACGGCTGCTTTAAGTAATTTTGTTTTGCGAATAGACGCAAGTTTATCTTTTATTTGTTCTATAAAAGAAGACACGCCTTTATTTTAATAGAACGCATTACAATGTCACAGGCTCTCAATCTTTTCCTCGGCAAACATAATGTGCTCTGTTTGTTCTTTTGATACATATAAGTTTCATACTCAAGAAACCAGATTTGAATCTTGAGAGAATGATTGTTTCGGAGAATTATGATCAGATTTTATTAGATTATAAAGTATCACGCGCGCGCGCGTGCTCACACACATACACACAAAAAGATATTACGCTTTGAATTCTTAAACAATCGATCTATTTTTGTCGACATTCTGAAAATCTATCTCTTTTTACGTAAATGAATAAAAAATTGTATATAAATCATCTGTGTCTTGTATTGCACAAGTTTTGTCGAATCTAAATTTTTAGCATGTTTATGCATAAACATAATAAAAATTTTGATTCGGATTGGACAAAATTTGCGCAATAAAGGTTTATGTACATTTATGTACAATATGAATATAATACATCTCAATATGCAATGACTCGCAGAAGTTATCGAGTGTTGAGTGTGATGTAACATCGAAGAAGCCGTCTAATGGATCGACTTGACCCTGTTTCATTTATTATACGACGACAACAGCGGATAATCATTACATACCGATCTATCGACTTATTTCTAAGGTTTTATCATTACTTCTTGCCTCTATTCTACTCGTCAAGAATATGCTTTCTTTCGTTTCTAGCCGAGAGCAATTATTTTTTCTGTTTAAAATGCGTACATTTTTGATTGAAATTTATATTTTTCAATTAATGAAGTTGTTCAAAACACATATTTTGAATTTCCGAACGTTTGCATATTTTTGTAGACAAACAAGTTGATGTGAAAAGAGATAACTAATATATATTCCAGCAATTTATCGGAGTATTCTGTACAATTATAAAACAATTTATTTATCTGAATTCTTTCTTACTTATATATTACTAACACTAGTCGACACGTGCCAGGTACGGAAATGAGAAGAATAGTTTCTAGTAGTTTTTTTAGCGCTAATTACAAATCTGGCCTTAAAAATTGCCTAGTACATTAGGATTCTGAAAAATCGCACACATATATGTATGCAAAAAATACCTTTTTTAACACTTTTGCATTAATTATATCTTTTAACTGAAACGTGATATTGAGTGCTACAAGCGTGCAAAAGAAAGCTTGTGACTAACACTTGATGCAGCAAGTATGAAAAAGTTCGAACCAACAAAAAAACTTGCGTAGAAAGTTTCAGGTTTCGTAATTTTCTTAATGTTTTAATCTTTATAATTTTTTTCGTAGAATCGATTGGCGCAGATTTGTTTTTCAACAAATAAATATTTGTAACAATTTGTTTAAACCGTTTTTGTTTAAATTAAAAACGACAAAATATATATATATTTTTTTAAATAAGAAATGACAAAATATAAAGTACATATAAAGTATATATATATAAAGTATATA